TGCACATTTTTGTTTTATTTATAATTGTAATTTGCCTACAAACTTTCATTTTTCAACAAAAATTTGGTCTATGTGCCTGCACATCATCCTTTTTCTGTGTAGAGCTCACACTATGTTCCAACAACGAGTAGTTTGCAAAGCTCAAAGAGTAAACTTACAAGTTTTCTGTTAGTTTTGAGATACATTTGTGACATGACTATCCTGTGTCTTATAAAAGGCTAATAGACTCTAATCCATTTTCATAGAAAATTTAGGCAATTTCTGGCTTTACAGAAGCATGAACTTTCCCCTGTATTTTTATATACCAGTTATATTGTATAATTGCATTTACATGAAATATATTTTACTACTATAATTCAGATTCAAATGATAATTGTTTTCAAAGGGAAATATGATATCTTAATTTTTTATTCTTTTAAGTTCTAGTTTGACTTTTGGTAACAATTAGCAGAGGCCAATATCAGTCTCCTCTTGTAGAAAACATAATTTTTATAGTATCCCAACCTAACATCATCTAAACATGGAGGGAAAAAACAGTTCACCGGGTGTGTGTTCTTCACTTCAATTAAACTCACACAGTTGGATATCTACTGTTGCCAAAACAGTAATATAATTTATACATTATAGTCCACACAGTAAAACTACACTAAAAGTCATTTAACAATATTTATAACACCATAAAGTACAGTGTTAAAATATATGAACTGCAATATGTACCAAAATTATAAAATTTGTTTCTCATCATCAGTGATTAAAACCAGGATCATTGCTCTACCCTCAATACTCACAACCCTGGTGACAGATTAGAATTCAAATCTTAATGATCAATTTACAATTAACAAGATAGAAGTGAAACAAATTAAACCAACCATTATATATAACGAGACCCCATGGACTCCCATTGTTCCTCTTAATTACAAAACACAAATCACAAATATACAATGGGCAGGGTTAGACATCAGTCCACACGCCTAGCAACCCAGAAAGTGACAATGACAGAAAAGAAAGAAGCAAAACCACGTAGACCCTGGTTCTATCTCTATCCTGTTCTTTTCAATGTGCAAGGGTGAGAAGCTAAAACCTAGCACACACTTCTCTCCCCCTCTGTAGCTGGCAGAGGCTCACTCCTCGCCAGCGCCCAGTCCTTCCAAGCTCTTCCCAGGCCAGGTGTTAAGACAGCGCTGCAGATCGCACTGCAACGTTTTACTGCTGATTCATCTAAGTGTGTGGGGGAGAGAGAACACTTTCTTCACTCTGATAAAGAAAAATCACAGTTGTACCAAAGATATTTAAATAGCTCCTAAGTTTACCTCCCTCAAAAACAACGCCATAACTGTAATCAGCTCTCAGAGTACTGGGGAATACAGAAGGAAGGGTAGCAAAAGTTTATGTGAGCTTCAACTAAAATCAGACAGAATGTCTGCCTCGCGCCAATTAAAAGCAAAATGGAATTAATTCTCTTGCCTGATGGTCAAAAACAAGCCACATAAAATGCACAGAATCAGCAGCTCATTTTTGGTTTTAAAATGGGACGTGCCATTCACAAACCCCGGGGTTACAGGCACCACTACGTGCGGCGTGGAATACACACACACGGTGCAAACTACTGTGCTAATCACCATGGAGGCCTCCAGAAAACAGAAGCCGTCGTCGCTGCCGTAATGCGACTTAGGGTCTACTTGGGGAGAAAACACATACAGCATACAGCAGACACACACACGGAGGTACCATTTCAAAACATTTTCACAGAGCAGCAGAGCAGCCTAGCGCGAGGCTGGGGCAGAGAGCAAGGGTATAGTGCACACCGAGCCCAGGCTGTCAGCGGTCCCGTCATTCTGCATGGGCTCCAGTCAAATGACTCGATCTGTGAGTTAAAAGCTTATTTTAAATGGTAGAAATCCATTTGTTTAGTTGGCATTTTGAACAACAAGCTCTTAGAGTAATGTTGCTAGTAACAAAGGAGGGAAAAATATGTTTTAATTATTGCTCAATACAAAATAAATACACTTACTTTCAGGAAAAGTTGTACTCCAATACTCTGAGGAAAAGCTGGATCAAAATTACCATATGGTTTTGCATAACTACTTTGGAGACTGAGTTTCCACAATGACAAAACTTTAGAAACTCCAAGGTTTTCCTCACCTCAAAGCACAGGGCAAATGATTTATCGCAGGAGTCTGGCATGGGGTATGCAGAGGCACAGTCCTAGAGGGCTTCTTCAGGGTTGACTACATTAATAACTTCTATTTTAAAAGAAACAGTCTGAGCCCTTCGTTTTATAGGTGCTTACAAAGCAGAAGGTAACATCAAGATAAAATATTAACTTTGATATGAACGAGTTAATGAGTTGTTGAAAATGTCATTGTAGGAACCAGGGAGAAATGAAACTGGAACTAAAAGAAATTAAGAACAAACAACCCTAAAACCACAATTTGTCCTTTCCACTACTTTCCTGTGAGGTGCACAAAATGCACTTTTTGTAAGTTTTAGGGGCCCTTAAGAGTTTTAAAAATAGTCAGCAACAATTTGTCAAGTGTTTACTAGTTGCTAGGCCTTGGTTGAATCAAACTGTAAAGTTAGAATAGGTGCCTATTTTAATTCATCAGATTTACAAAATACCACTAGATTCACATTTTCCTGATCTGGCCTTTTGAAAAAGGCTTGCATTGTGGCATAGACTTATTTCTGTCAGCATATGACAGTGAGACTTTCCCTGGCAAAGACAATAGCTTCGTGAAGTGATACCCAAATTACCAGTCAAGACCCTCAAAACAATGCCACCAGTGAAAACAATAGCAGCTACTGTGTATTACTGTGTGTCAGACATTGTTCTAGGCACTTGATACATGTACATACGGGTATCTATATATGTAATTCTAATCCCCAAAACAATCCCAAACAATGTGGCTTTAGAAATGTTTTTACAGATGGAGAAGCTGAGGTTTGGGGAGATTAGGCAATGGACCCAAGGTTACAAAGCCCCAAGTGGTAGAGTGTGATTCAAAGCTAGTTCCTCTGAATTCCCACGTGCTCCTGATTGCACACTGCCTGCCATCAACAAAGGCACAGACTGGTATCAGAAGTCAGGTCAGGATGTGGGAGTGGCACCACACCTATCTGTTGCATTCATTCATCATTCATTCATTAAGTGCCATCTATGTGTCAGATACAAAAGAATATACCCAATTTACAAAGTCGTGCTCAGGAGCTGGAGGAATGAGACGCAAGAGGAGCTGTAGAGGTGCTGAGTTAGACCAGTACAGGCTAAGGTGACAGATCTAGAAGAGGAAAAAGAGGGCCTAGGGGCACAGAGTAGGTCAGCTGTGTCGCATGCTCAGGGTGCTTACTTCTCCATGGGAATTTAAAGGTTAGTTTTTCCTTCCCAAACTTTCCCATCGTTACTACTGTGGCTTGAATTTTCTTTAGCAATAGATGTAAAATACTGTAATTACTGTAAGAAAGAACATACACTTTGGGACCAGAAATACCTAGGTTAGAACGCTAGCTCTCCCACTCACCAGTTATTTAAACGGTTTTGGTTTCCTTATCTGCCAATGAAGATAATAATTCCTGTCTCAAGTTGTGGTGAGAATTAAATACCAAGCACCTTTTTGACTCTTTGATAGATTAAATTTCTCTAATTATGTCTCCTTGGAGAGCAAGATCAGTAATCATTCACAAACCAATTTTAGACCTAACACATTAATATAAACCCAGATTAATATAATTTTATCCCTAAATGATAGAATCTGGTTTGTTTGCTTCTAACAAATTACTTTCGGATCTATGTGCTGCAAATCAAATATTTCTGGTTAAGTATAGCTACTGTTGATATTTTATGAGTCTCTTTCATGACAAAATCATTTGGTTTTCTAGGTCAAATTTCCTTGAAATATCTGGTATTTTGGCACACAGGTTTTCCCCTACCATAATACAATTATTAGAATATGCTAGGAAGGTGCACATGTCAGAAGAATCAACGATGGGGATGCCATCAGCTAAGATGGTTAGAATGCAGGATCCCAAGATGGAGCTCAGAGTGATCAGATATGCTCTGATCCTCCTGGAAATCCTTTCTGAATGAAACATCTAGGTTAGTAGTTTGTTTGCTGAGCCATATTTCCTGCTCTCAATAGATCTAGGTGAGTTTTGGAAAAATACAGGAGAGAAGACACACAGGCTATTTTTTCATTAAGTTATCATATAAGGTAATATTTGACATCAGTGACGCGAATATTGCCTTCTATAGTTCAATTTAAAGTGATTCTGTCCAATGTCATTCATTTACAAAAGCAGAAACTACAGTGCAAGTGGGTCAAATAAATTTGTCCAAGATTATACAGTTACTGCCGGAGCTGAGATGAGGACTCGGGCTTCTTGTAGTTTAGAATATAAAATAATTTATTCATTGAGATAATCTGACTAGAAATTGTGTAGAAAAAAGCTATTAAGATTCCAATCAATGGATTTATAAAAGAGTAGTATGCCTATAAAATGAGTGATGGCTATTCTATTAAAATATAACAATTTGAAGAGAAGGGAAGAATAGTTTTGGTTTATTTATTTCAAAGTACCATCTACTTTCATCTTAATATATATACATTTCATCTGTTATCATTTAACCTAAAGATAGTTTTTGTGTTCATGGTGAATTGTAGCAATAGATTAAAATGTGTTAACCATATCCACATAAGATTTGATAACTGCTTGATTTATCTGCATCCTTATGTTATTACCATATTGATCCTTGTTTTCCGAAATTTCAGTTTTCAATTCTAAACACGAAAAAGTCAAATAATAGTATATATACATAATCGAGAAAAAACATAAAAGTATATGGACAATTAAGAAAATGTCCATATGTAGAAAATATTTTCTAAGAAAACATTAGCAGATACCTAATTTTGACATTAGACTATATAACAGTATAAATACTGTCTTTTAAGGAAAAATTAGTCACACAAACAGTGCTCTTAAAAGTATTCTATAACATCACCTACCTGCTTTTTTGAGAGATTTGTTCCAGTTTCTTGGCTAATGTACAGCATTCTTCCTTTAACTTTGTCAAGAATGTATTCTGGGAGGTCAGCAACAGATACTGTTCATTTTCTAGAAATAACAATAAACCCCCACCAACATAAGATGTTTATGGTTGTAGCTCTGCAGTGCTTCCATACGTAGAGTGATAAGGTGCTTAGACCCTACACATTTCCTGTAAGCCACCAGATCACCTCCAGTGTCCTAAGTCAAAGGACTGATCATCTGGCAACACACTCAATCTTTTGAGTCATTTGTTTTCAACATAATTATACACCAGAAACATTTTTCATCATACCAGCTTGGTGTAACATTTTAACATGTTAATAAAGTGTCAAATACCTCAAGTGGAGTCATAGATTGCTTATATCTTTGTAATATGCAAGATATTATATTTTTATTTTGACAATTTTACTATAAACAGAGTGTCAAAAATTCTCACAACCAGATAATTCAAAACTGAAATCATTGAGGACTTCTCTTCGACACTGTAATTCATGCTTTGTTTCATATTTGCACACATGGTTTCCTACCACCACCACCCCCAATCCTGCATATACTTCTCTAATTATGAAGGTAAAAATGTGTATTTTCTTTAGAATTTTAATTTCACTGTCAACAGCATGAGCTTCAGTGGAGATCTGATCAAAGACACTGAAAACTGTGATTTTGTGTGTGTGTGTGTACAAGACAAAAGAAAATGTTCTTAAGGTGGTTTTAACAGTTAAATACACTCTAATCTAGTGCTCAGTTTCTGCCCAAGACTCTGATCACTTGGATCATGCTAGCAGTGGGGGCAAACAATAATTTATCCTACAATTTCCTCTTTTTGTTTTAGTGGAAAAACATCTACTAAACCTGGTGAATTTTCATTTCTTCTGGCCAAATGCTGTTAGAAGAAAATCTCTGCTGAGAGTGCTAGATGGAATTATGTGAGTCAACATGACATTTGTCTCTTCATAAGTAAATAGAGTATTTAATGACTTGCATGTTAGCAATTTTTCACCCATAGGATAAGAAGTAATTTTTTAACTGTATCATCAAATACAATATATTAACACATTAAATTATATGAAAAGTACCTCTAAGCATAAGTTTTAAGAGTCCTTTAATTCTTTTCAATTTTACCCAATAATTGGCAAAAAGCATATAGCATACAAATCAAAATAAATCCAGGCACTAAAATTAAGCAACATTTTTCTGGAAGAGACAGGATCAATTAAACTTTTGTTTTAATAGTACAATCAGTGTGGAGTATGTGGTGTGGAATTATAATGACTGACACTGTCTTGTTTTGACTAACACTGTCTGTGAACACACAACTCAAAAGTGAAAGAAACTACATAATGCTCTGACTGAACAAATCAAACTGTCTATTTTCAAAGTGCATTTTACTTTCAAATTAAAGGTAAAGAGTTACTGGCCAACTCGGTCTGCAGAATAGTGCCAATGTGATGAAAGATGGCAATTTTTAGCCAAGCTGCCAGCTGTGGTCAATGCCTTGTATTAGTGAATTTTAACAGCAGTTGTGAGAACTTGAAGAATGCAAAGGATTAAACATCACTCTAGATTGGGTTGGGGGAGGTGGGGAAATCATACAAATGCTAAAAATGTTCGAAGCTGCAAAGATTAAATAAAGGAACATATCAATTTGGAGCCACTGAATTACATCCAGCTGCGACAGTGAATTAAGAACCGATTAATGGCTAAAGCTTTTCTCCAGTTTGGATGCTGAAGCAAACTCATTAGGCTTTTAGAGCAGCTATAATGTGTGTACTGTGGGAACTGTTCAATGCTATTCAGGAGACTCTAACTGTAAGCTCAGAGCATTTCCCGCAGAGCTTCTGATGCTATTTTCTTTATATAACATGTGTGCCTGAAAACCCAGCCAAAAACAAGCCCTTTGTTTTTCTACTTTGTTGTGGTCTCTCTCAGCTTTACGTTTCTTGAACACAGGTAAATAAACTCATAATCCAGATGGTGCAACAGATGTGAGAGCAGCACTCTGAAATCAACAGACAGTGGGCAATACTTTCCATTTTCTCTTTTAAACGCTAACTAATATGTAATTCGGAATCTCCGGTGTAGTTAGCATCTGCTCCCTTCGGCCAGCCAAAGGTTACAGGTGTTCCTGATGTCATTTCACAGTAAGGCGTGGGCCTGGCTTGTGAGCAAGTGCCCAGGCTCTAATCTTTCCCTACCACCTACCAGTTTTGTCATGCTGGGCCTCCATTTGCTGTATCTTCTGTGTCAGCTCCTGCTCTCTTTGCTGGGCCTGAAGGGCTTGGGCCTTTGCTTCCTTGCTAAAGCTCTGCTGAATGCTATCTTTTTCCTGTCTGCAAAACAGAGAGGAGACATACAGAAATTTAATCTGCAGATGCACAAACCCCCATCCTGTCCCCTGTAGACCAGAGAGAGCTGATACGTAGTAAATTGTTAAGCATAAGAAGACAACGACCTTTCTATTTACCCTCCTCCACTTCAGGGGGAAAACCTAAACAACCATTCAAACGATGTTAAATACGTGCCATCAATCCAAATGAACTAAAGTATGCAGCGTCAAAAAAAAAAAATCGTAACTAAATAATGGTATTTTGTAACTTTAAAGCACAAACCTTTTTTTCTCTAACATTCTTAATGGTTTACACTACCAATGAATCCTTCATCTTCTGAATGGTCAATATTTCCTAAAGATACTGGAATTCTAGGAACAGCATGATTAGATTCTTAATTTAAGCAAAATTTAAATTCTTAAAACTAAGCTTTGCAGACCACTTCTGTTTTTACTCCTAAACTTAAAATGGAATCTTAAATATAATGCAGGAGACTCTATCTAGAGGCGAGTAAATGATTCTGCAGTGCCACATGCATGTTTTCACTAAATATTTTCACACATCAGGCCATATAATGTGAATATGAATATGAATATGAATAACTTCCCCCAGCACTTCATAATAAAATCCCTATTGGGTCACATTGAAAGAAACTGCAGGATGAAAAGCTTCTGTAGTGAGACAACGTCCCATCGTACTGCCATAGCCCTTGACCTGTCCCACTGGGTCAGCAACCAAGCACGGTGGCTCCAACAGAGAGAAACTTCCTCAACAATGAGAACCTGGGGAATGCAAAGGGCCTCATTGCTGGCAACACTGTGGATACTGACACTGTGTGGGCACATACACGCGCCCACACAAACACACACACACACACACACACACACACACACACACACACACAAGAAGGTTCTTTAAACTCTAAATATGGGCAAGTGATATGAGGACTTCCTTCAATTAACTGACTTAGTTATTTCAAACTCCTGATCTCCTTGTGGGCATTTCTCATCCATGCTGCTTTAGTTTACTAATTGAGATATTTACTGCTTAGCCTTTGCCAAACTAAAAATAAACAATTCCATAAAGCTATCACTACTAGTCTATGTACCGCTGTGGAACTTCAATTCAGTAGCTTCTAATTATAAAGCAACATAAGGGAAGCCTGTATTAAAACTGGTCAATGCATGTGGTCATGCTGTAATGTAAAATTCTGGAATGAAAATACACCCACACCTCACTCAAATGGAATCATCGGGGGTCCATGCTAAATGTGAAATTAGGTCCTGTCTGGTACTTTTAATAACAACACCTCCCCGTGGGATGTGGTCCAGGGTCTTTCCTTGCACTTAGTTCCAAACTAGTATATTACAACAAATGGATAGTCAGACGAGGCTGCTTTTGGCCTCTTCAGTCATGCCACGTGGATCACTGCACATGTCTCTTCCTCCTCCTGGAACGCCCTGCCTCCCACCCACTCAATCCCCCTGCAAGATGTATACTGCTACTCCCTTAAGGCCTAGCTCAAAATTCTTCCCCTCCCCTTCTCGTCTCCTGAATTAACTATTCTTCCCTCAGTGACCTCAATATATACTGGGTACATCCTACAAAGATAACATTTATCAGACTTCAGTTATTGTTTTACATGTCTGTTTCCTTCATTGTCTTTGTCTCTCTAAACTCTCAGCCCAGCTCAGTATTTGGCAAATAGGAAGTGAGCAGTGATAATTTCATGATTGGATGTTCTTATATTCTTGTCATAGGGTAAAGGAAGGCTGCAATCTTTAAGTATAGCTGAAGAATCTGCTTAAGTCTTACATGAGGAGGCAAAAACTTTTCAGACAAGTTAGAAAAAAGTGCTTGGAAGAGAATGGCTCTAATGGGTCTGCCAGCTGGAGACCCTGCTGCTAAAGGAGTCAGCTGAAAAACAGCCCTGTAAACTCTCACTGAGTAACTATCACCAAGTCAGACCCCGAATTGGGGCAGGAGACCAACGTAGGGAAATCTGGGACTCTGCAACCCCTAACAATTGGGTGACATAAATGCATTCTCCAAAACCAATATCCATTTGAGAGTGAAAAGGGGCACTATTAATGATTATTCCAAGATAACAGTTATAACCAAGACTACCCATCACAAACTGGTACTTACAGTTCCCTAATGTAAAGGGGTTGTCAATCTCACCATCAATTTTTAGAATAAGCTACCTAATTACTGATACTATAAATTGACTATAGGCTGGGCACGGTGGCTCACACTTATAATCCCAGCACTTTGGGAGGCTGAGACAGGCAGATCACTTAAGGCCAGGAATTAGAAACCAGCGTGGCCAACATGGCAAAACCCCATCTCTACTGAAAATACAAAAATCAGCTGGGCGTGGTGATGCATGCCTGTAATCCCAGTTACTCGGGAGGGTGAGGCAGGAGAATCACTTGAACCTGAGAGGTGGAGGCTGCAGTGAGCTGAGATAGTGCCACTGCACTCCAGCCTGGGTGATAGAGTGAGATTCTGTCTCTAAATAAATAAATAAATAAATAAAATAGACTACAGATAAGAACTACTGTCATAATTGTAGTCCTTTTTATAAAATAAAACAATTTAAAAGACTTCTACCACCACATGCTGAATTACACATCAACTTCCGTTTCTCGAATCCTTCCCCAACTTTCACTCTTTTGGGAAAGTGTATGTTACGTTTCATCACCTAGAAACATGACAGAGTCTTGCCTTTCCACCTCATTTCTCCTTCTGCTTTCCTATGTTGCCTTCACTCTCCTTTTGCAGGTTCTTTCGGACTTGGGAGGCTTTTTATAAAATCCCAGAATGTTAGAACTGACAGGGAACCTCAAATGTGTTTCAAAAAACCCTTTCACTTTACAGTTGGAAAGAGAAAACCTATTAAAAATCCCAAAGGGTCACAAAGAATTTAAAGTCTGCTTATAGTTTGCAGAGTGAATGATTTAAAGGCAGAGGAAGGATTAACATATTTTTATTTAGGGAGACCTATTTTATGATACTCTAGAGCAGGAGTATGCAATCTTTTGGCTTCCCTGGGTCACCCGGGGGAAATTATCTTGGACCACACATAAAATACACTAATACTAACACTAATGATTGCCGATGAGCTGGAAAAAAAAGAAAAGAAAATCACAAAAAAATATCTCACAATATTTTAAGAAATTTTATCAGCTTTGTATCGGGCTGCACTCAGAGCTGTCTTGGGCCACCAGCCGGACAGCTTCCTCAGCTTGCAGCCTGGCTGGTTTTGAATGCAGCCCAACATAAATTCATAAACTTCCTTAAAGCATTATGAGATTTATGCATAGGCCTTTTTTTTTTCTTTTTAGCTCATCAGCTATCATTAGTGCTAGTGTCTTTTACGTGTGGCCCACAACAATTCTTCTTCCAGTGTGGCCCAGGGAAGCCAAAAGATTGGACACATCTGCTCTAGAGGTCATACAACAGTGGACTGAAAAAATAAAAAGCACTTAGGTATTCAAGGAGGGACTAGAGAGAATCTAAATCAATTAATTAAATATTTATCATAACTCTCTTATGCAAAGGCACTCTGCCAGGCACTGGGTCAAATAAAGATAAATAAGACATGCTCCTCGCCCCTAGTAGGGAGTTCAAAATGGCCAAGAGAAAGTAGGTGGTAAAATACTGCATAAGAAAGATACAAGGGGAAAATTTACCAAAGCATAACAAAATGAGAGTCAAATCCAGCTGGGTGTGAGAGCCTGGTGAAGGATAGCCAAGCCAGTCTCTTCAATTGGTTTGCTTTAATTCCCACTCAAAACATTGAGTAAAAAGAATTGCTTGGTAGTTATGGGCTGAAAGATTCATTCACAATCACTCAAAACCAGAAACAACTTAAATGTCCATCAAGTGTTAACTGGATAAACTGTGGTGTAGTCTTACCGTGGCCAAAAAGGAACAATGTTACATACAGCACTTGGCTGAATCTCGAAAGCAGTACACTCAGTTTAAAAAGCCGGACACCAAAGACATACATTATGATGTCATTCACAGGGCACTCTAGAAAAGTAAACACCAGGGGACAGAAAGTAGATACATGTTGTCAGGATTTGGAAACAGGAGAGGGGTACCAGGGAGCAAAAGGGCACAAAGACACATTTTGGGTTGATACAAATGTTCTTCTATGTTACGACTATTATCTTTCACAATTCTGTGTATTTGTCAAACTGCATTTACCTGCACAGTTAAAAACTGGCAATTTTAAAATTATATTTAAATTTACCCCAATAAAGCTGATTTTTAAAAGAAGCAAATCAGTGGCTCACACCTGTAATCCCAGCACTTTGGGAAGCTGAGGAAGGTGGATCCCTTAAGCCCAGGAGTTCAAGACTAGCCTGGGCAACCTGGTACATTCCCATCTCTATGAAAAAAATACAAAACTGGCCAGCTGTGGTGGTGTGTGGCTGTAGTGCTAGCTACTCAAGAGGCTGATACAGAAGGATCAACTGAGCGCAGGGAGGTTGAGGCTGCAGTGGGCCACGATTACACTACTGCACTCCAGCCTGGGCAACAGAGTGAGACACTGTCTCAAAAAAAAATTAAAGGAGCAAAGGAACATCCACCTCTATTCTCCAAGTTATTCACATCACCAGTAATCCAGGCATATGTAGGCCATATCAATTTCTTCATAAAAATTCAGAATTAAAAGGAGTGAACAAGAACTGGCTAGGCCTCAAACACAGTCTACATATACATGGAGGTACAGTCACTCCTTTTTTCCAACTATAGTTCTGGTTGACTGTATTTTCTAAAATTGGTGACAATGGTCTATTTACCATTCCACTGTTTAGAAATGGGTCTGAAGCATTACTTTACATCATTGATACTCAATTTTTTCATATCATTTATTTTAAATCTTGCAATTTAAAAACTGTTCATGTCAAAGAGCAAAAATGACTTGTTAAACAGATTTTTTAAAGTACATTTTCTAATGATGTTAAATTGAGCTCAATAATGACCCTGGG